GTTGTGGAGCATCTTTCCATGTGCTTAATTTTTATTTATTTATTTATTTAATTTTGATATTTTGTTCAGATAGAATGGGAGGGAGAGAGAGAGAGAAACATTGATGTGAAAGGGACACATGGAGTGGTTGCTAACCACATGACCCAACCAGGGCCGGGGACAAACTGCAACCGACATGACCCAACCAGGGCCGGAGACAAAGTACATGCCCTTAGTGGGAACCAAACCCAGGTCTCTCCAGACCGCAGGCCAATGCTCTAACCACTGAGCAAAACTGGCCAGGGCATTAATTTGACATCTGTATATCCTTTGGTGAAGTATCCAGGTCTTTTGCCCATTTTTAAATTGGTTTGTTCATATTACAAATGTTTTTCTCCTAGTCTTTGGAGTCGGGATTTGAATGTCTTCTAATTTTCTTCAGGTAATTCCTTTTAATAATTTTCTGATTTTTTCAAAGTTTACATAATAAAAATGTATGAATTTTAGCATCAGAGAATGTTATTTTTAAAGCTCTAATGTTTTACTTTGGTATTTTATCATTGCCTGAGTTTTGCACTAGAAAGACTGTCTGGCTGCCATATGGTGGTCAGAGTGGAGTGTGGGGGGCCAGTTAGGAGGCTGTTGCTGTTCTTCAGACCAGAGCTACTGCAGCTAATAATAACTTGGAACAATGTAAGTGGTGGGCAGTGATAGGATTCTAAATGTATTATGGAATTAATGAATTAATTAAAAAATAAATACAAAAATAAAAACCAGACTTTATTCTTTTGAACCTATCTTTAGGTTCACAGCTACATTGACAGTATAGAATTCTTGTATACCTCCAATCCCCCCCACATCCATGACTTCCCCCATTATTAACATCCCATGTGAAGGTGACATGGCTTATAGATACAGTGGTCATGGAGTGAGAGCAAGTTAGAGGAATCAGACTGGATGGATGATCATGACATTTACTGAGATGGGAAGATTAGGGGAGAGGATTAGAGATGGACAAGTAATACTTCTCTTGGGTCATGTCAAGTGTGAGATACAGTAGACTTCCAAATGGGCATATCAGATAGGCTGCTGGGTAGTGAGTCTGGAGCTCAGGGAGAGGTGAGAACTGAAGATGTAAATTTGGGAGTTGTTGATGTTCAAATCATGGGAATGGATTAGATTTCCCAGCAGCATAAAAAGAGAGGTCTGGGGATTGACACCTGTGACTTTTCAACGTTTAGAGGAGGGGAGAAGGGCCCAAAGGAGAGAAGATGCTAGGAAGGTAGGAGAACAAGGAGAAATGTGCTGGCACAGGAACTGGAGGTGGTATTTTCAAATGGAAGGAGACATGCTGCTGAGATTGTGTCTGGTGAATTAATCTTGGAAGGTATAGGCCACTGGAGATAGGTGGCATGGTGGATTTAGTCAACTTTTCTTAGAGGAAGCTGGAGAGTTATGGTGCAGAATAAACTGGGACTACTGGGTAGTAGTGTAAGCTCAAGATGCTTGGGGCCAGGGCGAAGGACAGCCAAGGTCTTCCACTAGAGGTGGATCCCTGAATGGTGGTAGCCTGGGGTGGGATTGGAGGGATCCTAGGGTGAAAAGCCTGCTTGGTTCAAGAGCTAGAATTCAGGACTGGCACATAGCTGCCTTTCATCTCAGCTTTGCCACATACCAGCTGTATGATCTTGGGCAAGTCACTTGTTATTTTTATTTATTAAAAGAAAATTTTTTTTCTTTAATGATTTTAGAGAGGAAGGAGGAGAGATAGAAACATCAAATGGCTACCTGCATGTTCCCCACTGGAGATGTGGCCCACAACCTGGGCATGTGCCCTAACCAGGAATCGAACAGGCAACCTCTTGGTGTATGGGTTCAATGCTCAACCACTGAGCCGCATTGACTGAACTCACTTGATATTTTTAGATTTCAGATGCCTCAGCTAGTAAGAAGGGAATCAGACTAAATGCTCAGGCCTAACTTCATTGATCCGTCTCTGCCTGCCCTGCTCAGTGAAGGAGGGAAATAAAAATCTTTCCCCCGGCCCCCAGCAGCAGCTATGGAGAAATTGGAATTCTATGGCAGATTATTAAAATTCCTTCAATGTAGCTAATTTTGCCTTACTTCCTGGTCTATTCAACAGCACAAACATTATCAGATATTATAATGCCAATTCCTTTTTTTTTTTTTAAGTTTTTCTTTTTTTTTAACTTTTAGGAAGCAATTTTATTTTTTTATCCTCACCTGCGGACATTTTTGCATTTATCTTCAGATAGAGCAGGAGGGAGAGAGGGAGGAAGAGAGAGAGAAACATGGATGTGAGAGAGACACATCGAGTGGTTGCCATCTACACGACCCCAACTGGGGCCAGGGAAAAACTGCAACCAAGGTATGTGCCCTTAACGGCAACCGAACCCAGGTCTCTCTGGTCCGTGGGCCGACGCTCTAACCACTGAACAAAACTGGCCAGGGCCCAATTCCTTTCTTAAGAGGCAGGAATGTAGTTAACAAACTGGCCCTTGCTGGAAATTCTCGGTTCGGCTGTGTGGAGCTGCTTCATTGGGTGAATTGGAAACATACCTTTCTCATGGCCTCATCTTATAGTTGTGGTTCCATGTTTGTGTATCAGAGAAAGAGGGGTGGGCAAAGAAAACAAGTAGTGGTAGATAGAGGGAGATACAAGGAAAAGTAGAGGAGGGAAAGGCCATGTGAATTAAACCAGAGTTGGGATTAGTCTAACACTATTGTCCAGTTGTAACAAAGATCTCAGGTTTCTGAGTGTCAAATTTAGGCAAAAGGTTTGAGTTTCTCTGACATGGTAGATAGCAAAGGCAACTGTTTGATCAAAATTCTGACTTTAGCCCTGGCCGGTTTGGCTCAGCGGTTAGTGTTAGCCCACGACCAGAGAGACCTGGGTTCGGTCCCAACTAAGGGCACGTACCTCGGTTGCAGTTTCTCCCTGGCCCTGGTTGGGGTCATGTGGGTGGCAGCCACTTGATGTGTCTCTCTCACATCGATATTTCTCTCTCTCTTCCTCCCTCTCTCCCTCCGGCTCTATCTGGAGACAAAAGAAAAAAAAAAAATTCTGACTTTACTTTGAAAAGTGAAGCCTAGGGGGGGTGGGGTGGGGTGGGGTGCGGGGAGTTGGTTAACAGGTTGAGGAGTTGGAAACTTACTAGATACCTGCCATTCTTTAAGTTCTTTTCCTTTTTTAGTGAAACATTTCAAACATACAAAAAGATATGCAAATTCTCAGTACATCTCATCCAGCTTCAGCAATTCTCAGCTTACAGACAATCTTGTTTCATTTTTAGCTCTAACCATTTTCCTGCCCTGTAACTTTGAAGGAAATCCTGGACATCATACAATTTTATTAATAAATATTGTAGAATTTGCCCTGGCTGGTTTGCTCAGTGGTCAGAGCATTGGCCCACAGACCAATGAGTCTTGGGTTCGATTCTGGTCAAGGGCATGTACCTACCTCGGTTTCAGTTCGTCCCCAGCTCTGGTTGCAGGAGGCAACCAGTCGATGTGTCTCTCTCACATCAATGTTTTTCTCTCTCTCCCCCTCCCTCCCACTCTATCTGAAGATAAATAGAAAAATGTCCTCAGGTAAGGAAAAACATTTTTTTCAGAATTTGTTTCTCAAGGTAATGTAATCAGAGGACTACTGTTAAAGAGAAAAACATAGCTACTGAACTTCAAATACCCAGTCAATACTGATTTTTCCTATTGTCTTATTAAAAGAGTTTGCTTGATTTAGGATCCAATTAAGTCTCTACATTGCAATTGTTTTAATATGTCTCTGAAGTCATAGTTAGAAATCTGAGATAACTAAATTAAAATTTGAAATTAATCAAGTTTATCAGGATGCTTTGCTTTGCTATTAGCCTTACTATCATATTCACAGTGGCTAGACATTCAGCTGTCTTCAATCCAATTGCTGTTTCTGATTACACAGCATCCCAAATGGCTTCATAAGATGCACATAGTGACCTAACTGAATCTCTGTCTTATTCAGCAATGCAAAAGTTTAAGTATGTATACTTTTTAAAACCTTTTGTGAAATCTGCCATTACCTCCTTTGTCATACCAAAATATTCTGGCAAATGTCCCCCAAATATCCATCAGCCAAGAAACCTTTAAGGGTGATTATGTGTGTGCTTTTTTTAATTGTATAATTCATTTATACAGAGAAATCATTTGGATTGATCTATTTACAGCCTTTTTCAATCTTTACTTCCAACGGCCAAATATAGTTCACATAACAGTCAACATTTACTTGAATTGGTCACCATCATAAATCTGCTGTGACAAAGGGCTTTTAGTACCCCCCTTAAAGACCAGGAGCTCATTTAAACAGGAACATTTTACAGTAAAAGATTATTCAGTCTTTTTCCCCCCTCTTATGAATAAATCCACCAAAATTGCTCTTATATGGTCAAAATTTCAACATCTTTCATTGTCTCTTTAAACCCATTATTTGCAGACACTGTAAACCAAGGCAAAAAAAGTCCACTTCCCCCAAACCTTCTACAACTTACTACACACCCTCAAGTTTAGCTTTTACTACCTCCTTTCATTCTGGCACAACCAGTTTTCCTTTAAGACAAAACTACTCTCTTTTTCCCTCTTTTTTTTTTTTTTTAACTTATTACCAGTCAACTGCCTTCCTCTTGCTTCTCAGACAACTCTAAAACTTTCAACAAAATCCTTAAAGTGGTTTTCTTTCAGTAGTCCAGAATATACTGAGTCAGTTCATGTGTGCTCATCACCCCAAAATGCTATACTTTAAAAACTGCAATTTTCATAATTGGCTCAAAAACAGTATGGCTTGGTTTCACTTGGTATAGTTAATATGATTTAAAATACATATATTTATATATATACACACACACATAAACACATTTTTTAATCAAGGAAGAAAAATACTTTAAAGACATGCCAATTTGAAAAGGCATCAAAGTAAAAAAAAAAAAAAGCAAATACTAAAAATACAATAAGAAATTAAATAATTGGCAGGTTAAATGAATGAAAAACGAGGAATGTGCAGTAAAAAACAAACTAACATAAAGCATTCCAGTTGATAAAATGGAAAACCTATTAAGTTTTATGGTTTGTTTTCCAAGGAACTTAGGTTTCAATGTAAATTCTGAAATATTACATGTATTCCATGTAAATTTTAGGTGCCAAGGTTAAAATGTCAAATTCTGCACACAAAGTTTATCAAAAAAACACTGGTAAAATCCCAGTATTTGCAAAATTTTAAGTTTTGGCAAATACTGTAAATATCAAAATTGGTTGATATTAAAAAGTCATGATGAATGCAGAATAAAGAGAAAACCCATTTCATAAACATTTCATTTGATTAAAAATACCAGGCTTGAACATTCTAAATAATCCGAGAAAATATCTGAAATAAAAAAAAAAAAAGGATTGCAGTTGAACAATAATCTGTATATATATATATATCTTTAGCTGCCTTAAAAAAAAAGGGAACAACAACCAAAACCAACCAAAAACATAGAAAATGTTAAGACTGGTATTAAGTAACCCTGCAATGCTCCCATGCTCACATTACAAGAAAAAAAACAAACTGTACACATTTATAAATAAACAGTTTCTTCACCAGTTAACATACTTTATACCAAAGTCTCTTTCCGTTTGCTACTGAACTGGGCTTTGTCCCTTGCTTTTCGGAAGCCAGACTGTGTTCGGTACGCTTTGACACTCTTAACGTTGTCTGCTGTGTGCACTGGGGAACCACATTCTGAAGTGTCTCCATCAACTTCGACCTGAGTCACACTTGACACCGTAGATGCCCTTCTCTGGGCCCCGACATTCCCGGCAGAGGGGTTGTTCTCTTCGTACTCCTCATGGAGCTCTGGCAAACCCTGCAGCTCGGCTGAACTAGGGACCTGCTGGAAAGGAGCAATAGCGGTGCGAATACAATTGCACCACTGCTGTTTGTGGAACACATCGTTTGCTTGTAGAGTGTGTGACTGGCCCGGAGAGGGATCTTGGAAGCGAACTCTAAAAATATTTTTAGCTAGAGAAATGAAAATGAGAAAACAAACAAAAAAAGCAGACTTAAATAAAAAATTGATTCTAGATAAAGTGGTCATACTATATTAATAAGGGTGCTGGTTATTTATATAACATGTAAATCAATTAAGCAGATATTAAAACGAAGCCTACACATGACTTATCAGATACACCTGCTGGTGTCAGAGCAGCAAAGTGCTCTACATCTTGGTAAGTGTAATTGTACGCATAGGACAATAGAACCCATTTCATTTTAAATTTTTTTGTGTAGGAACAGAATTCTTAAAGATTAAAACTAAGTTTCTGAGGTTCTGAGTTTGTTTAAGCTATTTTAAAACTAGTATTTTTACCTTTATCTGAGTTGCTGAAAGCCCCGCGAAAGGACCCTCCCATTTTCACATCTCCATCCTGCAGGTCTTCCAAGACCAGCTCTTGCACGGGGATAGGCTGCCGGTAAACCTGGTAAGAGTGACGCTCATTTCGTGTAACAGGCCGGGTCAAAACCAAGATGTCTTGAAACAGGAAAATATAAAGTTTCTGGAGAAATAGGAAACAAATGCTTCCTAAGTATGGTATTTTGTGACTGTAGGTAACTGAAATCCATTGTTTAAATAACTTTATTTGACATTAATTTCATCACATTAATTTATTAAGATACCGTAACAACCCCACAAAGATGGCGTTTTCAAGGCTACGCATGTTCTATACGGAGAGCTTTTCTAACCTTGGAGTACATAAAACTCTTTTTTTAAGTCAGTGTGTAACATTAGATTAAGCAGCAACTCTGTAAATGCTACTCCCCACAAAAACTTGATTATCAGCAGTAATATAATTGGAAACACCAGTACTGTATACTACAGTTTTTTAAAAATCAAAGTAAGGATTAAAAAATGTAAGCTGGTAAAAATGTTAATGGTTCTGTTTGTCACACACAAATTTAAATATTTAAAACTTTTTTTTTTCTTTTTCCTTTATTGATTTTACAGAGAGAGAAGGGATAGGGAGAGAGAGATAGAAACATCGATGAGAGAGAACATCGACTGGCCGCCTCCTGCATGCCCCCCCAACTGGGGATCAGGCCCACAACCTGGCCATGTGCCCTGACCGGGAATTGAACTGGCGACCTCTTGGTGCATGGGTCGATGCTCAACCACTGAGCCATACCGGTCAGACAAATTTAAATATTTTAAAACAGGCCACATGACAGAAATCAGAGATGTGAAATTCTGACTTTTTCCAGAAAGAACCTCAACTTACAAGTTGAGCTTCTGAAAAGCACTTTATGAAACAAAAACACTATCCATGCTTATACTTAGTTCTGCTGGTACTTTAAAAATTTTTTTTTCTTTATTGATATTTAGAGAGAGAGAATGGGAGAGGGAGAGAAAGATAGAAACATCGATGAGAAAGAATATCGATTGGCCTCCTCCTGCATGCCCCCCACTGGAGATTTGGCCCACAACCTGGGCATGTGCCCTGACCAGAAATTGAATCGGCGACCTCTTGGTGCATGGGTTGACGCTCAACCACTGAGCCACACTGGCTGGGCTCCTTTGCAATTATTTAAAAAAATATGTTTGCTTTCATTCAATTTGCTGCAGAAATCTGTTTAGTAGTACTAAGAATGATATCCATCCCTGTAAAGTAAACTCCACAAAATTTTTTTGAATATTCTTTTTTATCAAACATTACGAAACATTTAGAAAGAAATCCCCTAGCTAAACAAGTTGATGACTTATGCTTCAAAACTAAAAAAATAAAGTATTACTGATTCTCCACCGAGGCATTTAAGTCATTCTGTAATAACAAAAATCATGTTTGCTTTATCAAAGCTAAAACATAAAATAAAAACCAGTAACCTTCTTTCATTATGTGATAAATTTATTTTATAAATCTGCTTCATAACTTATGTGGAAAATTTAAATAAGGTGGAGAAAAGAAAAGTAATATCTCACTTCAAATTAGAATTCAAATATACTCACGTGTCCATTTTTGTTCTTCAGTTCCCCGTGGCAAAGCAATACTTTGCTTGCCTCAATTCTAGGATCCTTCTGCTTTTCATCCAGATACTCCAGTTTGTCAATGTAATATTGGCATTCTGATTCACCTTTCTTCAAGTTGATGTCAGAGAGAACGCTTTGTATTATCAATACCTAAAAATTATCAAAATAAAGATGAAGAATTTTCAGCCCATTTACTTATCCTGTTCCCTTATAGGGCCAAAACATCTTATTAAAATGACAGAATTTTAAAGCTTGAAGAGACTCTAGAAATCAGTAAATTCAGTCAGTCCCTTCATTCTACAGATGAAGAAACAGCCTCAGCCAAATTGGGTGGTTTGCCCAAAGTCACATAGCTAGCTGGTGAAAGAGATCAGACTAGAATCCAATCCTGTGATTAAAATATAAAATGTATCACATTTTTTTATGTTGAGTGCACAATGCACTACCATATTGGATACTTAAAAGAACAGAACACTTCACAATACTGATTCCATATGTATAAAATTTGAGAGTATCATTGTAAATTTTTCTAAGGCAAGCTAATATATAAATCTGCAAAATGTTAAGAGTCTTGTACTTGACTACTTACAGCTTCTTCCAGAAGCTGAACATCAGGGTGGTCTTTTGGAGTGTGTCTAAGAATTTCTTTTAACAGTAAGGGGTATTTGACAAGGCGACTTCGAGGAATATCTAGGAAGCTCCAAAGATCTAGTTTTCGACTGAAGGGAGACTCAAGACATCGTTGGAGAAAGTCTTGGACTCTTGGATCTTGTTTCTTTTGATCAAGAAGAGCTTTGGCTGCCAGCTGGTTACTACAATAGCCTTTGTAGGCATTCAAACCTGGCAACTAGAGAGTAATAAGAGAAAACAAAGTATGATAAGTTTCTGTTACGATTTGGTCCATTAGCAAGCTTGCGAACACGAAACAAAAACTACAGCTATTCTTAAACGTTTTAACATGTTGTGAAAATTTTCCTGCAGGTAATAATGGGGGTTGGATAGTATTTTGGGCTGACATCAGAATTCCCTATTCGAATTTTCCTAATTTGGCTAAATCCAACAAAAACTCATGACTTTCCCCAACCCCAGTTAGATCCTAGTCTTCTGTATTCCCAGGATACCTGAGTGTTCCTCTGGCTCATTCGTCACTAACCTCAAGACTGTTTATATACTTAACTATTCTTTCACTAGATTATAAATGTAGAAACTGTCTTTCATCACTGAATCTCCTGTAATCCCTCCTAGAGTAGTGCCTAGCATCTGGCAGGCATGCAAATGTTAAGCAAAACAATGAAACAGATAATTAATGGCATATACTGTGGGGATTCTGTCCAAGGAGGGATATATTTTCTTTTTAAAAACTGTATCACTCATGAAATATTTTTTAAACAAAGACCATAACTTCTTACAGCTACATAATTTTGTCCAGTTTTAATGCCTTGTTTATCTATTTTTAGAATCCAATTACTGGATCGAATCAATCTGATATTCATAAAAAATTACAACTATGGCATATCTGTAAAAAACTATCTGAAGCAAAAAACTTACTACATACCCAGTTAACAAGTATGTGACCAATCTGCTCCACTGTTCCATCAGGCTTGGTTGCTTCTCCTAATCTTGCCAACAAATCTGAAGTGTAAAAAAGCAGAAATACCAATAATAGGTTTATTTTAAAACAATTCAGCACTAAATTAGTAGTTTAGAGTTAAAATTATTTGTGTTACTACTAATCAGATATTAATGAAAATTAAGTAGTATATTTTACCTTCATGCAGAGGTATATAAGCATCCAAATCGCCAAATATTTGTGTTAGTTCCTCTTCTGACATAATAGACAACTTTAACATGGGGTCATGGTAGGCCTATCAGAGAGGAAGAAATGTGTCACACACAGAGATAAAGCAAATAAAACACAATGAGAGATCTGTGCTTGAATAACTAACTATATAAAAGCTAGTGTGCATTCTATTTGTTACACATAAAAGAAAGTATATATTAATCCCCAAGTAGACTCTCTTACTGATATTCATATTTGAAGAGATGTGTCTAATAAATCTCATCTAAAAAGTAGATAGTTGCTACTTTTCTTCTTCTAAAGGTAATAAAACTATCCTTTAGAATTTGTGAAATATAATTTTTAAAAACTAGGGCATATAATAAAAAGTTATTTACTGACCTTTCTTGCAAGCTTGAGATCCTCAATTAAATCCTGTTCACCTCGAGACATTTCATATATTGCCTAAAAAAAAGTCCAGCAAACACCATAGGTCATTCCTTCCTCTGAGAAAGGAAAATTATATATAATTGATATTTACTGATGTTTTGAACAGTGCTTTTTAAAGTGACTCAGTCTGAAATCTGTAATTCAGAATGGAATCTCAAATAAGAGGTTGCCAATGTTTCATTATTTTACCCTCTCCTTAAGGACCACCACCCATCACAAAGTGCTGCTCAGCATGTGTTATGAATTGCTGCTCAAATATAAGAATGCAAGTTGATTTTGCCACAGGCATTAATTTGCTATTCTTCTTGCAAAACATGTTTAAAAAACAGGGACTAACTTTCAAAATATAAGTCAATAAATATGGTCTGTTGAATGCCAGCATACCTCCTGACGTTTGATTTCTTTGGTAGTTAAAGACTCCTTCATACTGACATCTAGCATCTCTGACCACAGTACGCTACTTCTCCTTTTGGCAGGTGTTGGGACTGTTGATCTGCTCGACGACTTCTGGGCAGAAGCTGGAGATCTGTTGTCACCACGAAGGGTAAATGACTTAAAAGAAAATGAAAACAGGTGAATAAAAGAGAAAAGATATGGAAAATATAGCAATTATTCCTTTTACTTAAAAAAATATATATACAAATTAAACCCAAAGTTCTGAGAATTTCTCAATGAATAAAACAATCATTTATCCAAGTTTCAATCTATCATTTTAAAGTATTTATCAGCCAAAATTATTTTTTTGGGGAATAAAAACTATCTAAGACTATGCTTTGATGTAAGATACAAACTAATATAATTAGGTTATAGAAATATGTTCTGGTAACATTTCTTATCACCATATTCCAAAAAAATTTTTATTTTTAAGTATAATAGTATAAACCTGTTTGTACAACTCAAAGAAAAATACAAATCTGAGGCTTCTTTAAAATGTCCCCTTCACTACATTACTTCCTCCCCATACCCTCCCCCACTGACCTGTATTGTTTGACCAAAACGTCTGACTGCTCCATTTCTTACAGGAGAGATTAAATTTGCCAAGGATGTGACCCGAGCTAGAGGTCGAACTCTTTTATTGCTTGGCTCCTGTAAAAACAAATATATAGACTATGTTAAAATACTAACACTAATGAATAGCAGTAATTTATTTAAAAATAAATGGTATAAGAAAGGCAGTCAATATCTGAATTACCACTGAGAACATTATAAATATCATTAAACAGAAGAAAAACTAAAATTAAAACAAACAAATTAGATTCTAAAATCCTACAGACCTTTGTAGTTTAATATAGAGGTTAACTTCTTTCTTTTTAATATGTTTTTATTGATTTTTAGAGAGAGAGAGAAACATCAATGACAGAGAAACATCAATAGGCTGCCTCCTTCACGCCCCCTACTGGGAATCAAGCCCGAAACCTGGGCATGTGCCCTGACTGGGAATCGAATCGGGACCTCTCAGTCCATGGGAGGATATTCAATCCACTGAGCCACACCAGCTACTCAATCCACTGAGCCACACCAGCTGGGCCCCTACTGGATGTTGTAAAGCAAATCCAAGACTTTATATCATTTCATTCTTAAATACTTCATTTAGAGAATAGCTTTTAAATGAGCCTGACAGTGGAATGGGTCATAAAAGGTATTCGAGCAGAGGCAGGGGACAATGGTTAAGAGAACATTCAGGCTCTGGTATCAGAATGACTAGGCCTAAATCCTGGTTCTAGTATTTGCTAGGCAACATCCTGGGCCTCAGTTTTCTTATTTATAAAATGAAGTTAGTATTAGAACTCTGAAGATTAAATAAGGAATGTTTAAAGGGCTCAGAACAGTGCTTGGAACATACTAAGCACTACTACTATTAGCTACTTCTACTATTTTTTCTTAGAAATAGTTCCATTTATTATGTAAATACTGGGATTTATAAATAATTAGACCTTCTCTCACAATTTATTAACTTAAAGGAAAAATATATGCACATTCAGGAGAAATAGTTATTTTTCTACATGTATTATTTTAAAAATAGTAACAGTATAGCAAACACATCACTTATGCAAGGATTTCAAAAATTTCCAAAATTCATTATTCTAATTTTACTGCTAAGAAAATGAAGGCATACTATTACATGACTCATATAGCTATTGAAATAAAGAGGGCCAGAAAACAGAACAGGTCCATCCCTTATGTCTATGGAATATAATTGTTTGTTTGTATTTGATGCGTATTTGACAATTGTGGCATATTTGACAAAATCATTCTGATGAGGGTTCAGAAGAATATATAATTAAAAGTTTATATTAAATTTGCCACTTAAAAACTACCATTTAAAAATGACGGATGAAACTTTTTTTCTAAAAATTTTTTGATATGATTTAAGTCATATGAAAAAAGGTAAGGGATGTGGAAATTGAGTAAAAATAATCCCCTTAAAGTAATTTAAGAATAAAGTGGCAGAAAGAGTTAAAAGTCTCTGGAAAGAAACTTAAGTGATTTGAATAGTCAAAGAAGTAATTAGACTTATTAAAGCTCCTAAAGGTGTGTAGGTGTAGGTGTGTGTTGTGTATATGTCTCAGGAAGGAACACCTACTAAAGTAAGGAGACCTTGTAGATAATCAATTCAGGCCTTTGAAGGCCTTAAGAGGTGGAGCTACAGTCCAACACTCCCCCGCCAAAACAATTAACTTCAAAGTAAAACTGACTATCAAGTCACCAACGTGCAAATGTTAAATTAACTGAAAAAGAAAGCTTCAAGATATGTAGCAAAATGACACACTGTGTGGCCGAAGACGTGTGAATGCCTTTACAATACACATCTGTGCAGGACTGAAGTGACACATGCATGGGCAGAAGGTCTAGCACAAGGCATTCCTTTCTATTTAGTAAAGGCAGTACAAAGAGTCTTCTGTTTGAATGGAGATATAATTACCTCACAAAATAAGATATGCCAACGTTAATAAGAAACAAAGCAGCTGTCAGTTCGGTTCCACTTTTTGGAAAAAGAGGTTAATTCCTCTTTCTTGTTTAAAACACAACAGATTTCACTTCTTAGTAAATCACAAAATATTTAATTTCAAATTAAAGGTCAATGGAAAGGTAATATTCCCAGTGAATTTGAAAGGAAAAGGTAGTTTTAGCTGGGAGAAAAAGACTATCTATTTTACTACATAAAATCAAATTAATGATAAAAATTCTTTATAGGATCAGTTACTATACAACTACTATTTTCCTGGTAACTCAAAAGTTATGTGATATTTAAAATTTAAACGACAGAATTTAGATTTAGATAATTATATGTAAATATATCTAACGCTTTCTGAAACTATTGTGGATTTTGTTTATGCAGTCTCTTTAGGGTGGCAGGATATTATGCTAAGCAGTATCTGGTGGTTAAATATAGAAACACACCTATAATCTCACTTTTTCACAAAGAATATATGTTCGTTTTTAGAGTTTATCTAACCTAAAACGTCTTGGTAAGAGTGCCTAGCTAGCTCAATTAGTAGAGTCTGAGACTTAATATGTCTTGTTAACAAAGTATGGTACTAAATCAGGAAATGTGGGTGGCGGCAGTAGGGGTAGTGGGAGGGCACCTTTGTACTGTTCATACATACTTTTGGGGATCCAATAGTAACTTTCTGCCTTACTAAAATGATATATGTTAAGAGTATCTGGCAGACACAACACAAACATTTAGCACATATATTTCAAAAGTATGAAAATTTTTAATGAATACCTTGAAAAGTGTGATTGAAATGTGAAGATGTAATACTGAATTATGGTTTACTACTAATTTCAGGATACAAACACTATTTGAAAAAAATATAATACAGAAAACTTTAGTGGAAAAATGATATGAATTGATTAGGTATTCATGAGTCACCCACAGGATTGGGACCAAAAAATGTCTTTTTAAAATACAGATTAGAATTTGGCTCCTGTAAACTACAACCAGAAGTAGTTTTCTTTAGAGGTTCAGACTAACCATTTTAATTATCCTGGTTTGGTTATTAAGAACCTAAACATTTGCACTGTTGCAAAACATCTTTTGAAGACAGTTTTTTGATAATTAGTATCAAACCTACATCTGACTCTCTGTATACACAGGATTCAGGTACAGTGTTTGGAAGTGATGAAGGAAGAAGGGGACAAGAGTCTACCTATCTTACCATCACCCAAATTAAAGCTTACATAATGGTTCTGTTGCTTATTTTTATTTAACAGTGTTAACAGTGTTATGGTAAATACAAGAAACTTAAAGAATGGGTACAGATATTGAAACTATACAGTCTCCTCAAAAGACAATTGGAAAATCTATGGGAACGAATAAAGATTACCAAGAAGTTTTACATGCTCAGGAACTTTCTATCACAGGCAACCTTTCACCAGGGCAAAAGTTCACTTAGACAGGGGGAAAAAACATCCAACACCCTCTAACATAAATTTATGTTGTTTATTTGGGTTAAGTTTTAACCAGACTATCTAATTTAGCTAGGCAATCACATGCATTTCTATGCGGAAGCTGCCTCCAAACTGAGTTTTTAATCAATCTACTTATTTTACTAATCCACTTATAGTCAGATTTTATGCCTTAAAGTATTTTCTGGATATCTATCTATAAACAGAAAACTGTTAAGAGCAATTTAAAGTCTTTTACCAGGATGTACCTTGTACATAAAAGCAACAACATGGAAAACTGTTGTGAACTCATTTTTTTTTTTTTATTAAGTAAAAAGGTTTCTCCTACTAATGATGTCATGTAAGAGGAGATATTTTTGGAGGATCTCTTCTACAATCAACTAAATCAAGACACTTAAATAAAAACAGTATGTGTCTAGGTTCATTAATTTGGGTTACAGGATAAATAATTTTCTCCTCTGTTTGGCAAGAACTTTAAAATAAGAAGAATGAAAGAAAAGTCACTTATGATAAAAATGAATTAAAATCACACGGGATTTCTTCCCTTTCTTTAGTAATTGAAATAGACAAATTTAGTTATTTATTTAAGTCTGTGTTGCTAGCACTAAAAACCTGAAAATATTCCTGGTGTTTTTAATCTTTGGAATAAAGGTATGTCAGAAATATGGCTAGTGCCTGATACTAAACAAAAAAGACTTGTTCTTTATGGTCCAAAAGATGATTAGTTTCAGTGTTTATAATGATGACCATATATAACTTGCTCTACAATGAAAATGCTAGATTTCTGAGAAAACTGAAACATATAAGCAAAAACCAAACAGGAAAATAAAAACCAAAGCTAAACCACACCAAATGAAAGCATACCTACTAAAGATGGCAGCTATTTTAATTACCAAAAGGTGTATGTATATATATGTATGATACACAGCTCTACTGAATATTCAATAAACTGTACATATTTAAAATAAATAATTAATAAGTTTTGATATATGTATATGGTTACAAAACTGTCACCACAATCAAGATAAGTGTATACAGTTAATTAAATACAGGAACATCATACTATATATACTATAGTATATAGTATGAATGGAATACCCATATAATACTATATCAACTGTCAAAATGAAATAAAATGGCATAAAATCATGACTCATTTTGATAAATGTTCATAAAGATTTTAAAAAACCACAATTATATTCAGACAATTAAAGCAAGGAGGGTGGCAGTAGCTAACTAATAATTCATTGGTTTAAATAGTTTAACATATTTTGCTTTCTGAAGAAAAAAAGTTACACACAATTAACTTATTAGATATAGAAAGAAAAATAAAAACAAGCACTAGGTCAGATGGCATTTTAGTTGTAATTTGTTTACCAGCATTAACTGGCAGGGGAGTCTTATTTACTCCATAAAGCAGTTCCTAAGATTAGGTAATATAAATGCAAGCTAAAAAAATAGTAACTGTATTTAAGCATCAGAAATGTGACCAATTTCACAAAATTGAGCAGCATAATCTTTTTCTTTCTGTATAAAATTTGTGTACACTCATACTATGTTATGTATAAACCTAACTATACCACAGTTCCTAAACTTATACCAAAGTTCCTGAACATATTTCAAACTTGCATATAGTCATACATTTTAACACTAAGATCAAAAGTTAAGTTTAA